GTATACTGCGGCACAATTTATTCCATGGCTTGCTGCAAAAGCACCGTATTTATATTCCGCAGTAGTTCTTTTGCAGAATAGTTTTGTAACTCTAAACTCGCCCTTTAAGAATACATTTACCTGTTCCCACGTTTTCTTCATTGCCATTGGTGTCTTCTGCTTCCACGTCTTCTGAAATGTGTTCAGTTTTCATTCTCTTTGTTGTAGTATGAGGTTCCTCTAGAGATGGATTTGGATGAACATACACAAAAAATTATAAAAGCAGAAGAAAAGTTCTGACGTGACTTTAAAAGTTCCTGTTCTTGTAACGTGAGCTTATATTTGCTAAGAGGTTCAGATTTTATAAAAGGACTGTGCGAGCACAGTCTTAAAAATAATCTAATTTGTATACGTAACTTGAAATATTCTATTTAGGTAGATTATTGAGCTTTAAGGCACTGATTTTTATCAGCATCTTGAAAACAATAATATAAAGTGTAGGGCAGATACCTTCCGCATGCTTATGTTTGCGCTTCTTTACATTTGTTTCCTCTTCCATTTCATGCTGATGGCCATTTCCATTTATTTCAAATTCATTCTCAGGGCTCTCCTTTCCTTTTTTGGACTTTTTACTCTTTTTCACTTCTGACTGGTTTTCTAATTTCAAGTCTTTTTTCTCCTTCTTTTTATTCTTTTGTCTCTCTTCTTTTCGTTCTCTCTTATTCTTTTTCTTCTCAATTTTATCATCCGTAATTCCGTCTTCTTCTGCCAATGTTTTTTCCCCAGTTTCTGCAGGCTGCCTCTGTTCCTTCTGTTGTGGCTTTTCTTGTTCTTTTTCACTTGAAATCTTTTGTTGGAAGACAGATTATTACAATTTTACATGCCTTTTGGACACTGCAGTTTTCTCTGCGATATCATTCATGCAGAATGCTAATATCCTGCATCAATTAAATTGCTTACATGTGGTCACACCAGTTACCTGAGAAATAGCACTAGTATGGCTATCTTTCTTTTAACAGTCCAAAAGCTAATTACTTAACATCACAAAATAAAAGTTATCTTATAACATATATAATTTCTGTTTGAAATAGTTGTCTGTTGTGTTTTTAAACATATTTGCTAACTGTAATTAAGGGAGAGACAACTGTTTGATTTACACAGACAAAACTACTTTATACCACAGCACGATACAGGACCTGTTCCCAAATATGTGGCCCTCAGTAACAATCCTGGCTTTGCCTTCCAGTTCCTTGTCTTGGGAAATGTCTGAGACAACCAACCATTATTGCTTGATATCAGCAAAAGTTCTGCTCCTTGCTTTAATTGTATTTTTCTCACTTCAGTTTGGTTTTCTTTTAGTGTTCCTGGGCTTATAATAATTTCCTTGTAGAAGAATTAATATATTAATTGAGATTTTTATATTTAAATTAAACTTTAACAAGTGAAACACAATGTTAATGTGGCTATTTAGAAGGAAAATATGTATTTACACAAGCCACTTAATACCAGTCAGTTTTTGTAAAGGGTAATTTCAATTCAATCACTTAAACACTTCCTTTGAGTGCACACACTTCATGGTATGTATTACAAAGAATATCTTGAGATGTTTTTTAGAAATCTTAAAGGAACTCCTTCTGAGCAAGAAAGCTGTGTTACATATTTTACTGTAATGCCATACTCTATGGTAAATATAAAATGTTTACCTGTGTTAAAATAATTGTTCAGATCCAAGATTTTGCAGAAAAAAAATCAGTTTAAATCGAATTATTACTTCAGTGAAGTTGTACTGACTCAGAATTAATGTTCCAGCAAGAAAGTATACTTGAAATACAGCACCCAAAGTTTACATTATGTTCATATCCTATTAAAAAATCCACTTCTCTCCTTCCTGGCTCTTACATGTGGATTCTTCAAAAAAACTACAAATAGATTTAACTGGAATCATTAAATCAGAAACATGAAGCAGGATCTACAAGAGATAAATGCCAAAGTTATGCCCACACTCTTCCTCAAAATGAGCTGGGGAAAGAGGAGAGCATTTTCACATCAAAGGACAAGTAAGTTTATGGAACAGCTTTCTAGTAGCAGTAGTAGATGTAAACAATCAAAACAACACCCTACCAAAACATGCCAAGCTAGTACTGAAATAGCAAAGAATTAGGGACTGAGAAAAAAGGTCAATGTGAGTCCATGGTTTGGACACAGAAATGGAAGGAATTTGCACCACAAACTGGAGGATCTCATCTCTCTCCACTAATAAAACTGGTAAACTAGGTGCTGTTCGTTTCCCACTCCAATACACATAAATTTGAGGTCAATAAAGTTCTGAAAGCACTTTATTCCTTAATGTGTGGCAAAAGATTGGAAATGAAGATAAAAGTTTAAGTTTTTAATCACAACCTACCCAGTATGCACTACTTCAGCAACAGTATATTCTACGAATTAGCAGTATAATTTAGGAACCTTAGATTATAACGTAATCCATTGTAACAATGGGAGACAATATTTCTGCTAATATTTAGAAAGAGAATCTGGAAGGTTTTCCTTCCAGCGTTTTTGACTGCATGCCGACTGTACATTGTACCTGTAACTAAACTTACATTTCTGGTTGCTTCAGAGAAAATATCCCACACCTGGTCTTGCAGAGTGCTGTCAGTAATTCTCAAACTGTTTTTCATCCAATTCTGTGCAGGAAAAAACAACAGTAACTGGAAAGGTGCATCTCTGATTTTTTTCTTGATTACCATATATTTGGTTCTTGGTCTTATTTTTTCACTTAAAAATCTAATCACTTCTGATTAAGATCTGGTAAGGTGTTTACTCTCTACGAGTCTCTTAAACTTCCATGCTAAACTATTTCACATAATGCCTGCATACTGTTAAGAGACATGCCTCTCAATTGCCTCACCAATAGTAATCCAGAAGAGTAAATATATAGAAAAGATAATCCTCAAGCTTTTGAATACAGCTGGTTGTGTCAATGTCCTACCAAACCTTCTGACTGCTCCCATAAATAGGAATATTAAGGATCTGATCTTACTTATTTATTTGTGTACTAATCATGCTCCTTAGTTTATTAAAGAAAAGTAAAATTTTAGCAAATATCTCAATGTAAACATTTGAAAGTTGTTTGGGCTATTGCAGGAGTTTCTGCTGAAAATTGAATCAAAGCAGTAAATTTCTACTTATAATATGCTCACACCATCAGCAATGGATCAGCTTTCAGGATTGTGGAATTCAAGTAAAACCTAATATAAAGATATTTGCATTGCAATGAAAATCCCATTGTCATTGCATTAGCAAATTAGAAGAACAAACTGCAAATAAATCTGATCTTCCACTGCAACGTATCTTACCAAAAAGAAAGAAGCTTCTAGACAACAACTTTTTCTGCTTAGAACATTCATTTTGTAGAAAAGTATTCTAACCTTCAGCTTGCTAGCAACAATATCACCACAGCTCCGTTAGGGTCTGAGTGCTTTGGAGCAATCGTGATCCCTCAGGCTCACAATCTGAAGCATGGAACAGAGAAGGGGAAGGAGCCAGCTTCTCAGTAATTCTTTACTGATACAACATTTACTGATACATCACTAACAAGAAGCACTATTGGAATTTGCTTTGGCTGTGATGCAAATTTTAGTGAAGCATGCAGTACAGGAGATTCTGTCGGAATACTGTGCAACAGGAAAACTCTCAAAATGGTATCTTGCCTTTAGCAGGAAAAAACAAAGCCACAGAAATAAGAATCCTTTAAAAGTAAATCTAAGAATTTGGACATTCAATAGAAATTGCAAATAGAAAAAAAAAAAGTGTTAAAAAAAGAACAAGCCTACATATGGTGATTAAGCTTGAATTTTGAGTCTCTAGCTTAATTAAAATGGCACACAGAGAGTCTTTCTTAAAAAGACGTATTTTATCAACATTGCCTATTTGAAACTTGGCTATTACACCATTTACCAATGCCCAAACAAGTAATTTTTCCAACCTTTGTTAAAAGGAAGCGGTACTTGCTAAAAAAGTCTATTTTTAAGCTCACTGCATGGATAAATTGATATTAAAACATACCTGAAACTTTACTTTTTTTCTTGGAATATTATCAAAGACACGCATTTGGTCCAGAATGTTCCGCACTTTAGGGCTTATGTTTGGCTTCTTCATTACTTCATGAATTTTCTGAATGAAAAATAGAATCAAATCAACAAAGAAGCATAATGATCAAATGATATGTGCAAGGTACGCAAGTCAGAAATACATTGGGCTGAAATTACCCAGTACCCACAGACAGGATAGCCTGCTTGAAAGAACTGTTCAATATGCATGGGTAAACCACTAACCTTTGGTTGAATCACAGATGGTAAGATGCATCCAAGTTATCTATGTAAATATTTATACCTCTATAGTAAGTAGAGGCAAGCAGGACTGCTCACCAACACTTTTTGATGTACAAGTTAGAACCCGCAATAACACTACTTGGAAGTAAAGCAGCTGTATCACACAGGGGACTCTTGTAGCCTGAAAAGACCCACGTTAGGAAAAGCAATTGTCAACTGATGGTTTTTGCAAAATTCTGGACTTAATTGTGAAAAACCAGGTTTGAGGCCACAATTTGACATGCATTTCTTTTGGCAGCAGTGCCAGCTTCACCAGTCATTAATCCCAGGATTAATGAGACAGCTCAGGTATGTTCCTGTGCTACGTGCCAGCACAGAGAAAGAGGAGGTTAGGCCACAGCGTTGTGGCAGTTACTTGAAAAGCACTGCTGCTTGTGGGGAAAAAAGGCTGTGAGCTTCCCTTTATTTAAAGATATAGCCACTGGACACTGGATAGCCTTCCTGTACTTCTGCAAATCTGTTTGCTGAAAGGTTTTGTGGCTGCATTAAGACTACCAGAGAAGGATGCTCTAGAACAGTCCCTCACCTTGCTGTGTAGAAGTACTTACGGTCAAGGAAGGCTGACAATTTTCAAAAGCAACAGCATTCACCTCATACTGCCTTTGAGCAGTGTTCTCAAACAATGTTCTGTCTCAACAATGGCGCTAGTGCCCTGACTGCAGTGGTAGTAATCATACGCCTTGAGAACATGCACATGGTTTAGTATTTAGTATGTGTGGTCTTTACGAGAGAGAAATCAAGAAAGACATGCACAAAGGTGATCTAACTGAAATCAAATGTTTTTTTTTTAAAAAAAGTGGAGTATTGTTGGTGCGGGATTCATGGACATCGCTGATGATCACTATGATCAAGCAAACGCCACCTTGTTGCAAGCAGACACACATATTTATACGTCTTAACAAGAAGCACTATTTGTGGGTTACAAACAAGAGACCAGACTGGGCAGCCAGGGTTGTTATTAGCTCATGTACTCCTTCAATCACTCTCTTGTCACACAAGGAGAACAGATTTTTCCCAGGTCTGTTTTGATCATACTCTCCTATGCACATCTTGTGTACGAGAAGCCTCTTTATCCGTCCATTCTCACAGACAAACTCCCAACATGAGCTCTACTCAGCTGGTCAGGGTCTCTTTTCATAATTAGCAAGCAAGAGTTATGTACTTGTTTAGAAAAGAGCTCAAGGACGAAAGTCTTAATTCTGCAACGCAGTATTGCCAGCACAGGTAACTGTAAAATGTATCCACAGAGTTTCTTCTTAAAACTTTTAAAGGAAACTAAGTGCCATAAGAGGGTAGGTTGTTGCATCGGATAAATAACTACTCGAAGCGTAGGAGAGAAAGGGTAGGAGACATTTCCACCCATGGCGGAGCCACTGCTGCTCAAGATAAAATAACTGAAAACAGGGCAGGAAAATGTTCCTGATGATATGAAGCTATTCAAGATGAGGACTCTGAGGAATTCTAGAAAGATCTTAAGGGAGTGAGGGACTAGGTATTAAAAAGGTGAATTAAACACAACACAAATTCATGGAGAGCAGCATGCTTTGGAAAAACAATCCTAACTTCACACCTAAAATGGCATGCTTTAAGTTGATCACAAGATCTTCAGGTTAAAGTAATTAATTCCATGAAAATGCCAGCACAATGATCAGCAGCAGACAATGAAAAAATAGATCAACCGACAAAAATCAGTAAGAAAGTAATAAAGAATACCATCACTATGACACAAAGTAATTCTGTGGTTCATCTGTATCTTGAACAATGTACATAGCTCTTGTAACCTCATTTCACAAGGACGTTACACTAGAACCAGGAAGACTCCAGAGGGTGAAAGATATAATTTATATATGAAGAACAGCTGAGCAGGATAGGGCTTTTCAGCCTGGAACAGAGACGATGAGAAAGAGAGGGATGCCTGACACAGGTCTACAAAAACATAGGTGGCATGAAGAGGGTGGACAACGATTAATGTCTCTTTGTATGTAAGAAATATTGAACATTAAATCAAACTAGTAGCAGGCAGATTCAAAACAAAACAGAAAAGATGTGTTTTTCTTACCAGGATAAGCAATAGACCTATCAAGGAATTGCCAAAAGAAACCCATGGATATTGGGGGGAAATAGATTTCTGGTTTGATCCAGTATAGCCTCTCTTTTGTCTTCAACAACTGTAAACAGCAGTTAGTTATTATATCTGCAAAATAGCGCAAACCTTACCTGAATCCACTCCTGTTGTTTAGCATCTCCTTTGTTAGTTTTGGCTTCAAAATCTTTTCCACCGTATTTCTGGTCTTCACTTACACACTTCACGTGTTCCTTATAATCATCACCCCTAAACACAGAAGACTTTTAACAGTAGGTCACTAAAGTGTTTCAGCCCTTGGAACTATGCAAGACTCATGCAATCAGCAAACTGGAGTAACAGATGATGGCATCTACCGTTTAAACCTTAATACTGACAACGCTTATATGAATAGAGTTCAATTCACTTAAAGTACGGGCTTAGGAGACTGCTGACATTTCTGTCATGTTACAGCCTTCAGTGAAAATTTCTGACTTGCAAGTCTCCAGTATACTGCTGCTTTTCTTAACGACTCTATAATCTATGCACATCTGTACATGTAACATATACACAGCTATTAATGTGTGTCTGTGTTTTACTACTCACGCTGACAGGTTTTGACATTAGAAAAAGTGGTAAAAAATACCTGCAAAACTTAATTCCTAAATATTGATATACTAGCGTATAGCAGCATGATAGTGTAGTTCTGACTAATGTGTAAGTGTCCCCAGAAAGGAAAGACTAACAGAAATCTTGTTCTTTTGTCAGGAAGTATTGAGAAATATAGTCATGATTTGAGGCCAATCTCATCTTCTTATGCAAATTGATGTATTTGTCTTTCAAAAGCAGATACTAGCATTGCTTTCTGAGAAGTAACAACCAAATTCAGAATGTTTTATTTTACTGTCCATCTCCTTCTTGGCAGTAGCAGAATAAGTAACACTTGTTTATAATCAAAAGCTGAAAGTACTGCTACTTCTAACTGTAAAAGAAGAAATTGCAACTCTGCTTACTGCGAGGTTTAGTTGTCCTTGTGGTTCAAACTTTGGTGATTGAGCTTGAAATTATATAAGAACATGAATATTTTTGCACTTCAGTATGATTGAGGAATTGCTCAATTTAATGGTAACACACCATATGAAAATCTGGTATTTGTGACAACCACTGCAGGCTCGGCGGGGCGTTTTCTCATCCTTCACCTACCAGAACTCCTTGCCACAGTCCATGCAGGAAAGGCACTGGCAGTTTCTGCAGAAGTTCACGTGTTTTTCCACTTGGGCTTTCTTCACGGACTCTCCGCACGCGTCGCAGGTGAAAACCACCATGTCGGCGGGCGGGCAGGAGCTTCTAGGACACGGGTACGACCTTTTTTTCCCCCGCACAAGCGCAGCCCTGGAAACACATGGAGACGTTTCACTGACGGCCCGACAGTAGCACTTGGGTGGCTGAAAAGCACCAAAACAGCGCGTCCACCGACACAGGAGTTCGGAGGGGAAAAGCGCTTTGCCCGACTCCTTGAGCGCAGGGGAAACCGGGAACCCTCCTCCC